CTCAAAGTCTCTATGTAGTCTTAACTAGTTCCCATATATATACAATGTGTTTGGTTTATTTTGTTTAAATGTCATATCAACCTCAATGGGTTATTTAAAGCTGACAATATTTTTAGGATATGTTTGTAGAAATAGAATATGTAAGAAATCAGTTTGTAGATCAGGTTTCATTGACATATTTTTGTAAAGAGGGTTTTTGTCAAGAGTCGGAAGAATGTTCCACAAGTGAGAAGTGTGAGAGAAGAAACTATTAGCATTGAACTTATGGTTACATCTAGTGGCCATTTCAACTGTAAAATGATAAATCTTTGCCACCAATCTAGTACTGCACTTAAATTCATGAAGTTTAGATACCAAAGAAGCTCATTAGAACAATTACCATGAAAATATTTATAGAAAAGGCACAGGGAAGCTATGTTATGACAGTTGGAAATTGGTTGAAGCCAGTATACCAGATTAGTACCAATAACATTACAAATTCTTCTTTATATTTTATCAAGAATATAGCAGGATCACCAGATCAGATGTGGTGTCAATATTCAAGGCATTGATGAATAGTATTATTATATATTATTATGTATAAAATTATATAAATATATTTTGTTGATACACTGATGATGTATGTCCTATTCAACATAACCTGCAAGATATTTTTCTTTTTAATCATTTCATTCCAAAAAAAAACAAACCACTAAAATGAAAGGGGGTATTGAGTGTGAAATAATAATAGAAAAAGAAAGAAACATTATTAAGAAGAGAGAACAATAAAAGAACAGGAATTAAGAAGACAAAAGATATTGATTGATCTTCAAAAATTTAAATGAAATGTCAAAGTTGACTGGGAAGCAAGAATCCAAAAGAGAGTTCCATATACAAAAAGTTCAAGAGAAGAAATTGTTAGCATAGAACTTACAGTTACATTTAGCCAATTCAACTGTAAAATGAGGAGACCATGCCAAGAATCTAGCACTTTGCTTATATTCATAAATTCTACGTACCATAGAAGAAAATTTATCAGAACAATTAGCGTGAAAGTAAGGCACAGGGAAGCTACATTACAGTAGTGGGAAAGAGAGTGAAAGTGAGATGCCAGGGCAAGACCAATAACATTGCAGATTCTTTTTTGGTTTTTTATCAAGACTTGCTAAATACATAGCAAAAGCACCAGACTAGATATGGCAGCAATATTCATTGCATAGATGAATGATAGATTTATAAATATACAAGATATTATCTGGTGAGAAAAATTGTCAAGCGTGAACCAACCTTCCTATCAGCAGACCTAGCAATTGAATCAATATAATCTTTCCACATCATGTCCACAGAAAATGTTAGTTTATTTAAACTATTTATATCTATAGTAGTAAAATTCTACAGATATTAATGGTATTATATACTTTTGAATTTTATGATGAGTGATGTCATTTTGAACCATTAATAATTTTTTATTAATATTTCTTTTATTTTAATTTCAGTTGAAGATAAAAAAAAAAAAAATGAAACCATGTGGTTGATTAAAGTTTCTGTAGTCATTGGATTTTGTAGCTCAAGGTGTAAAGCAGCCAGAGGATTCAGATAAACTTCCTGAAGAATAAAAGAATTTGCTTTTTACCAAAAGAGTGTTATTTCCCATCCATGCTGTTTAGTAACAGCTGTAGAATAAGAGACTTCTTAAAAATCAATAATAATTAATCATTTATTCTGGACCACTGACAATCCTTTTTTTCTTTTAATTTTTTTTTTTTTTTACCTCATTTTCAATGCATTTATATATGATGTGTAATAAGAAATGGGAGAGCAGTATAGCTTAGAATAGTTTAGCACAAGAATAAATACTATTTATGGTTGTTTAGATGAGGAAAGTTTTTTAGTCAAGCGAGATAATCTCCAACAAGTGGGGTAACTGTGTTGTTACCTATAACATAATACAGTGCCAAAAAGTTCTTACCTCAACTAAGAAAGGATGCAAAAAAGTCGGTTGGTCAGATTTTGGGAAACCAGCAGCAGAGTTAATAAGAAAAAAAACTGTAACTTGCCTACATATATCAGGTTTAGTGCCTAAATGAACTTATGGTGGTTAGGAGGTTATCAGTTATAGATGAGTTATTTATCTTACGACAGTATTCGTTTCCCACCATATATTGGCATAATTGATTTGGGTGTATGCTGGCCTTGGGTAATGATTAAAAAAATGCATAGTGTTGGTAAATACAAAATAAATCTTTATATAACGCAATAATATGGAATGATAAGGTGAAAGTTGGTGTTTCAAGAGTTCAAGTGTAAAATTCCTAAAGAGAGAGAGAGTCTGGGAAGAAGTAAATAAATATATATATATTCAAAAGTAGTACCACTGCTTGACAATGTGGTGAAGGAGAGTAGGTTTGTTTTCAATGTAGCAAGGATGGTTTAGCCATCTATAGTCACCAGCTAGTTCATCTTTGGCCATTTTACAATGACTGCATCATCAAAGAATGGACAAAATTAATTTATTGACTCTGGTTTTGGTTGCGATTCTATCTGCTTATGTACGCATCTATAGACCTGTTTAAAAAAGGGTGCCCTTCTTCATAGTGGCTTATGGCCTTATATCTTGGTTGTGAAAGCATTCCGATTGGTTAATTCAATTATTTATTTTCAGAAATGGTGAAGTTTTGGTCTCCTCCTTATTTATTTCTTTTGTTACATCCTGGTTGTGAAAGTTTTCTGTTTGGTTGGTCAAACTATGGCTTTACTTGCCTGGTGATTTTAAGTATACATCTGTTTTTAAAGATGTTGAAATTTTGATCTTCTTGTTATTATTTATTTTATTTATTTATCTATCACCACAAACTGATATGCCAAAGAATTAAAAGTAACTCTTAATTGATAGTCCTTCTTTTTACCTGAATAATGGCAGCTGTGTAATATGGCATAGAATCTATGAGGTTCTGCTATCATTATATATACAGGCATATTCCAGTGTGGTCCATAACTAAATTGTATTTATTGGATATGACTACAGAATATTTAGTATCTGTGATATGTCCTATATATGCTCAATCTGAAATGTTTAGGGGGTCAACAGAGGATTTTGAAGTCAGTACTCCTGGAATGAAGATTATCTTTTTGGAACAAACAATCATCGCTACGAAAGATAATGAGCATAAAGAGAGACAAATGTTCTGCAAGAAGATCTATGTATGCCACACCTGTCAAAGTAGATTCCAATTTTACTCCATCAGAAACACACTTCCACATCAGCATGTGTAGACAAATTTTGGCTAACAAAAAACAAAAAAACAAACTAGAAATATGATGCATTTTTATTGTAAAAAAAAAATCATTCACAATGCATTTTTATGATAAAAATCATTTCCAATACATTTTGATAGTAAAACTCATTTTCAGTGCATTTTTATAGTAAGATCATTTGCAATCCATTTTTATTTTAAACATCATTTACGACACATTTTTATAGTAAAAATCCTTTCCGATGAATTTTTATAGTAAAAATCCTTTCCGATGAATTTTTATAGTAAAAATCCTTTCCGATAATTTTATAGTAAAAAATCCTTTCCGATGAATTTTTATAGTAAAAATCCTTTCCGATGAATTTTTATAGTAAAAATCCTTTCCGATGAATTTTTATAGTAAAAATCCTTTCCGATGAATTTTTATAGTAAAAATCCTTTCCGATGAATTTTTATAGTAAAAATCCTTTCCGATGAATTTTTATAGTAAAAATCCTTTCCGATGAATTTCTATAGTAAAAATCCTTTCCGATAGTAAAAATTTTGAATTTCTATAGTAAAAATCCTTTCCGATGAATTTCTATAGTAAAAATCTTTTTTTATAGTAAAAATCCTTTCCGATGAATTTCTATAGTAAAAATCCTTTCCGATGAATTTCTATAGTAAAAATCCTTTCCGATGAATTTCTATAGTAAAAATCCTTTCCGATGAATTTCTATAGTAAAAATCCTTTCCGATGAATTTCTATAGTAAAAATCCTTTCATGAATTTTATAGTAAAAATCCTTTCCGATGAATTTTTATAGTAAAAATCCTTTCCGATGAATTTTTATAGTAAAAATCCTTTCCGATGAATTTTTATAGTAAAAATCTTTTCCGATGAAAAGTAAAATCCTTTCCGATGAATTTTTATAGTAAAAATCCTTTCCGATGAATTTCTATAGTAAAAAAATTTTCCGATGAATTTTATAGTAAAAAAATCCTTTCCGATGAATTTTTATAGTAAAAATCCTTTCCGATGAATTTTTATAGTAAAATCCTTTCCGATGAATTTTTATAGTAAAAATCCTTTCGATGAATTCCTATGAATTTTATAGTAAATTTCCTTTCCGATGAATTTTTATAGTAAAATCCTTTCGATGAATTTCTATAGTAAAATCCTTTCCGATGAATTTTTATAGTAAAAATCCTTTCCGATGAATTTTTATAGTAAAAATCCTTTCCGATGAATTTCTATAGTAAAAATCCTTTCCGATGAATTTCTATAGTAAAAATCCTTTCCGATGAATTTCTATATTTAATTGTAAAAATAATTTTGAATCATTTTTATAAAAAATCATTAAAAATAATTTTAATTGTATTTTTAATGAATCATTTTATAGTAATAAAAATAATTTTCACTGTATTTTTTTAATAACCATTTGCAGTATGTTTTATAGTAAAAATCATTTACAATGTATTTTTATAGTAAAAGTTAATTTTCAGTGCAATTTTATAATAATTATATGTAATACATTTTTATGGTAAAAAATCATTTGCAATAAATTGCTTTATAAATTTCTTTTGGGGATTTTCATTATTGCTGTATATGTAATTATCAAAGTGAATAAAGGTGTGGATTCACTGGCTTAATGAATCCTACCCATGATATCACAGACTAAATAAATAACACTTTCTCCTGCCACGTTTCAGTAAAATTTTATTTTAACTGAAATATATTAATATTTTTTGTCTGTTATATTGTAGAAAAAATATTTTATAATTTTAG